ACGCAGACCGCCGCACGCCTCCGGACCACTTGGTTCGACACCGCGTCTTCGTATCGCGATAGCTTCGACGATCGATGAGAAATACGACGAGAGGCGCCGGCCAACTGCCTTCGAATGGCCAGACCCAACAGGCAGAAATGCTGCCAGCTCTACGGGTTCAAAACACCGGTAATCTGCGTCGGAGCATGGTTGAACGCAGACCTCATCGCTGGGAGTTGTGCAACGAAAATAGCATCCGAAAATGTGGGATATCCGTAGGCGATGTGGGATAAAAATCTCCCAGGGCGCCAACTCAAAAAGTTTCCAGAGATCTCGGAGCCTCGATGGCAGGGGTCACCCGTCTACCGGATTATGAAACAAGGAATACAGTGTGTCGATCTCTTTAGGCTTGGCCTGCGCTCCCCTGCCCGTTTGAGATGCCGCTAAACCAAACAAAGTTGGGCGGCCAAGGCCATCGTGGAGCTGCCCCCGTTCCCCTTTTTCCGAACCGCAATGTCTTTTTTTATTGTTGGCGCCGCCCGTATGACTCGCATTCATGTTCGTTTGCGGGAGCTGAGTCGCTTACGCGATGGATAACTATGCACATCTTATGATCTGCCCACCGGCCCCATGGGCTGTGCAGCGGGTGTTCGTGCACAGAAGCTTCGTATCCCGTCTTGCTCTCCTGAACGAATTTCCCATGCACAATGCGACTTCCGTAGACTCTCGTTCTACTCAGAATCCGCTGCCGCAGGGGTCAGTGATTGGCTACAGGCGTGGATAATGTGTACTTTGCCCCGGCTTAGCTCCTTTTAGACCTCTACACACGTCTAGTTCTAGCTTAGCGGCTCTTTGCCAGAGACTCTGTAGCCAATTATACCAGTGCAATAGGCCTTTTATGGGGGCGCGGATTCTGAGTAGAACGAGAGTCTACGGTTGTGCGATCTGACGTCACCGCTTGGACGGGGCCGGATGTAACGGGACAAGGCAAAGTAAGACTCCGATCGCCGGGGCGGAGGCTCTGCCGCCTCCCTGACGACACCCCTCCCGGTCCCCGGCAAGTAAGACTTCCTGCGGCGGGCTTCTACTCATATCCTGCCTGCGAGTTGCGATTATTCGCCGGGAAACGTTGGTCTGCTGGACAATTCGAAGCAGATCCGACGGGTTTCGTTGTGCGAAAGCATTCTCTGTGTTGATCGTGACTGTGCCATTCACTTGGAGCCTGTCGCGCATCTGCTCGAACACGCGCAGCACCTTCTCCTCACTTTGAAGGTATTTTCCCAACTGCATTTTGACGAATTCCTCTCTCTTTCCAGAATCAGAAAACGCTTCCTGGAGAATCGGGAATCGAGGCGCCATTTTCTTTTGATCGTCTGGCGGTGTCGTGGGTGGGTGCCTGCGTTGGTATTGGTTTGTTGTGGGAGGAAAGGAAAGGAGGCACAGGCGAAGAGAGACAAGGGAAAAAGAGATCAAGGCATGACAACGCGCACAAGAAACAACTGCAACAACAATCTCCATCACTTAACTTACGTTCGTCTTACACGACTAGACTCGGATTATGCGTCAATGAAGGGTCTCAATCACCGGGCAAGCTGATATATTATCACACACGATTCGACGTTTCAAACCACCAAAGGCGAGGCAACCCAAGTACACGCGAAGCGTACCAGTGGCGATAGTCTAAACTGTGACTATACGCCCTCTTCAAACCATATAATGTCGCCTGGTAAACCCCAAACCAGCTTTGCATGTCTGCTCGCGCCTGCTGTGTCATGGTCCACCGTACCTTCCATCCAGACCTCACCTGCCTGCGCTTTCCAAGCGAGTCTGCGCTTGCCAATCCTGTAGCCCCGCTTTCTTTTGTTCAACTTGACTTTATCGTCGTTGCCTCTGTCGTCCTCCATCATCCTCTCTGGCACTTACCATCCAACTTTATTAGTACCCAAGTACATACGCAAAGATGCCAAGCGCAATGAACGCTGTGATTGATAACCTGAAGAAGAATGTGAATGAGGCGAAGACAATGATCGCGAATATGGACTGCCTCATTCAGCGGGTTCCTTGCCCAGCGAGGCACTCGCGTGCTATGCTAAGCGACGAATTACATAACGAGAGCAGTAGATTGGCTGTCAAAATGCTCCGATGCATTACAGGAAGCCCGGCTAAAGATTGAGAGATTGCCAATGGCTGATTATGTCTGGCAAACTTTAGCCTGGCTTCAAGAGCTTACCAACCTTCGCGAGACCCTGACTGCCACCCACGAGGAATCGAAAGCGCGGCAGTGCGAGACAATCGGACGACTGAAGCGAGAAATCTTGAGACTTCGAGACGAAGCTGCGAAGACCGAAGATAGGCAGAAAGCCACTGAGGTCGAGCAGATTGAAACGCATACGTCGAGAAGATGCTGCGAAAGCGAAGACTGAAGCTAGGCAAGAGGCCATTGAGGTCGAGCAGATGCGGCGGCAGCTCCAAGAGCAGGCACAGAAGCACACCCGCGAGATCGATCATATGCGTCGGCGGAAGCACGTAGCAGAATATTCCGCCGACGACTTAAGACGCTCTGTCAAAGCACACGTCCAGGTTGTTCGACAACGACGCTCTCGAGAAGAACAGCGATACTTTGCTAGCCGCCAAGAGCTGCAAGAGTAGTTGCCGTTCCGCAGAGACCATAGAGCCACAGTAGGCAAAGTCGCAACCGACGATTGCCACGACGAGTCCTATGTGGCGGCGCTCGAGGACACGACGATGGCCATAGATAAGCTCAGAGAGCAAGTCGGCCAGCCGGTCCCCGGACCAGAGCAAGGAGTGGCCAAGTACGCCCGTGGTGACGAGACGGCGGCGCACAAAGAGGCACGCCCGGCCGAGAAACACCGCGCGGCTAACCCAACTCTTCCGGGTTCGTCGGAGTGGAGAGAAGTCATCGGAGACGTGGTTGGTCTGCTCAGCAATTTTGACGTAGAGGCGGTGCAATCGTGCAACTATGGCGTCGATGATGCTATACAAGAAGTTCTGTCTTGTCTGATCCTTGACAGGTGCCGTGCTAGTCTCAGGGTCTTAGTCGATGGGGAAGGCGAGACAGAGTGGTACTGCATGACACGGATTAGAGACTATGGCTTCGGGCCGTTAGCTATTTGCGATGACTGCAACTTGTTCCAGTGTATACATTTGCGACGTCAGGCTGATGGGATCATATGCATTAAACAGGGCTGATTCAATACATTACTTCATCTCACCATGTATTTGTTATTCTATGGAGACTGCTTCATCACTTGCTTGCTTTACTATGATAGTTTAAATATCCGTGACGTAGTACTTAACTGCTCTGTAACATGCGTATAAAATCATTTTAAAAGAGAATTATGAAATTCCAAGTATTTAATCGAACCGTGCTTGAATTTTCATCATAAGTATTCTCTATCTGGTGGGAATCTCCGTAGTGAGTGTCATCAGTGACCACCGCGACCAGGTTCTCCGTGACCTCTACCGCGGTATTAAACCTTTTGGCCTGTAGGGCTTGCCTCGTCCCCAGGGCCGCCCTCTTCAGCCTCGGAGCCTGTGTCATCATGGCGGCTTTGCGTTGGAGAGTTTCCAGTATGGTCTTGATGCGGTTTCTGGGGCGCGTGGTCGAAAAGTTCTCGCCAGTGGAAGGTCGCGCAGGTTGTCAAGTTTCGAAGCGAAATCGCTCCTTGAGGATCTTTTCGTCAACATCGCCGTATATGTCATTCTCACAGGCGAAACGGTGCTTGATGCGAATATTTGGGTCATAGCTACAGTAGAACAGCATATACTCATAGCCTTCTGCTCCAAGCACTTCGGGGCGCCTTGAGCGGCTGGCGTTGAATGTCGTGGGCAAGATATCAACACCATTGAATGCGTACAGCTGTATGGTATCTCCTGACTTGGCGTCGTCGGTTCTCAATTGGACTGCTGCCAGCAGTTTTTAATTGGCGTCTTCGCCGCCCTGGAACCGAAGGACATCCTCTTCCTCTAGATTGGATCCAGCGGACGGCTTGAGATGGACGCGAATGACACCGTCGGAGCGGTACCTATGGCAAAACACCCGTTTCGCGGCCATACCCAACCCCTCCGACTTGCCGCACCAGCTCACCAAGCTCATCTCTGCGAGGAAAGCCGCGTAGGGTGAGTCAATCTTCTCCCAGTCCGTAGCCCGTTTTCCAGGTATTCGAGTCCGCAGAGAAGGAGTTCCTTGCGGCTCCACAGAGTCTCGCGCATGATTTGCGACTCGGAAAGTGAGAAGGACGAGGTGTCGTTCTTGCTGACGGCGTTCATGATCTCCTGCTTGAGGACTGGCGCGTTGTCCTTGTATTCGCCGCTTTTGGAGATCTCTCCAGGCCAGTTCCCAAATGAGGTTCGAACCCGTATCGTTGTCGGGGCCAGGCGGGAGCATCACGACAGATATCTCACGAGGACAACTAGGACGTCCAGAGCACGAGTCGTAGTGCTAGATGCTCCATTGAATATCTTCTCCCTGAGTGGGTGTGGCCGTTCAGTCGTAATCCTCTCGAACAAGATCCCGCCGTACAGCTTGCGCATGTCAGACAAGGCCCTGATTTTCTCGAGTATACCATCCATTGCTGATGTTGTTCTTTGGAGACAATGGGTGTTTTTTTTTTTTGGGACTGTTTTCTTTTTCTTGTTGCTCTTCTTTCTTCCCTTCGTCTTTTGGGCAGGAGCGTATCTAAGAGGTGAGCCGTGAAAACGTTGTGTTCTGATCAAAGTAGAACGGGCTCCTATTCACCTCGCCCCAGGACCTTCCTTCCTCTTCACTCGCAGTCGATATCCAAAAGACACAGATACTCCCGCCCGGCTGCCACGGGAGGAAAAAAACCAAAAAGGAAATAGTTCGCCAACGCTTCCGTTGGCCGCTGCCTACCTATCTCAAACCCGCCGCCGCTAACTCACGAAATACAACTGTTTCGTCAAAGCTATCCATCTCGCAAAAGTCAGAAGAACGCGACAGCGACAACGGACGACGAAAACAATTACAAACGATAGCAGCGATGGATCCCAATGCGGAGCAGGACAACCAGCCTTCCGGTCGATACCATGCGACGGACTGGAGAAACACCATTACACCCATCGTCACAGCCATCGAGAAGAACGACGGCTTCTCTTACTTCAAGGTCACGGGCCTGCCCTCCGGAAAGATGCGACAAATTGCAAGTGTCGCAAGTCTCGCCACTGAAACACTCGGGAAAAGACCCATCTTCATCGTGCCTACTCGTCTGGAGAGCGAGTTTGTCTGGCTAAATGGAGAGGAAAAGTCGGTTGCTGGCCTTGTGATCACATGAGAAGACATCTTCACAAATGACCGCCAAGAGTTCTTCGAGGCTATGGACGAAGCAGGCACGACCATCATTGTCAAGCTTGATGGCCAGCGCACCCTACACTCAGACTTCGGCCAGGTCGTCATTCGCGACCACATCTACCACCACTTTTTCGAGAAGACCAAGGGCTGGGCTTGCACCCTCGTGGTGATGTCCTCGTTCGGAATGCACAAAGGCCAAGCACTCGGAAGGCTGGCCTTTGAATCCATCGACCTGGGCTACACCTTGGCCGCTTGCGAAGAGGCCGAGGCCAAGCTCGATCTCCCCTTTGAGAGATTTGTGGCCGGAACCGACATTGGACAGGCGACTATCAAGCTAATGCAAAGGGCCATCAGTGAAGGTGAGACGGTCACGATACTATCCTTCGCCACGCTCGAGAACGCCGTCGAGGCCATAATAACGGCGCACGAAGCCGGCTGGCAAGTGTTCCACCTGAAATCGCCTGCAGATCTCAGAAACCTTCAACGCCAATGTCGATTAATCCCACAGAAAACGTCCATGTTCGTGATCTCAGACCTGACCCCGGGCCTGACGACATGCAGCGTGGACCTGCCCAACCTCAGATACATTATCGCCACTGATCGTGCGTGGAGGTTCTACTTCGATGATGACCATTGCCAGACGATGAAAGATATGGTCGGGCTCTCGCGCATGGAACTGTACCATCAGATCGGCTACCTCCGCAAGACAACAGACCCGCGAGCGGTCATTTATGGCGACTTTGACCTTTCCACGGCGCTCAAGACGCGACCCTGGAGACCCGAACCGGCGTCCGAGGACCAGACGCCTTTCGAGTTCCTTTACACTTTTGCCAACATGTGCTCTGACATGGCCATGGAGGATGTTGCGATCGAGATGCCCTACCAATACGACGTGCTCGACCACGTGCACCGAATGCTCACGTTGATGGGTATCCTCGAGGAGGGAACTACGCCGGGTGCCTACAAGGTGAAGGATGGCTGGCCCGAAAAGATTGCCGACTGCCTTGTAGGTGGTGATGCCGAAGTCAACGTCGACTTCTTCTCTGCAGCCATGCTCGCTCAGACTTTCCACGGCTTCGAGAACGGCACACTGGACGAGGACGAGACCAGAGTGCTCATCCGTCTGGCCGCCATCATGGATGTCGCAATATCTTGGACCGCGGACGAAACGAGTCCCCCGTTGATCAAATTCAAAGGCCCGGCCGCATCGTTCAAAGACGAGAGCTTTCCCTTGATCCTTGACGTCTGCGGCGGCATCACCAAGGAGTTGTTCCCGTTCGGAGCCTTGTGGCAGATGCTGGGCATCTGGGACACTTACCGGGTGAAGATGGTAGACTTCATGTCGTTCAACCACGGAGTCAACCGTCTCCTTACAACCGTCCCTGTGAACGATGTCGTGGAGATCAACCCGGGGCTGGCCGAGGAAGTCTACGGACTTGTTCTCGCTATCGAGAAGGCATTGAACATGCAGAGTCAATCCCCCTTTGAAGGGTTGCCTAGTCTCAGTGCCGACAAGGTGCACCATATCGAGGTCACCCTGGCAAGATCTTGTCTGGCCCATCTCGCGTTCTTCACACAGGAGCGTGAAAACGGGGCCTTTGACTACCGCTGCGTCGCGGCCGACTCTCATGTCACCGTGGACAGTCGCAAGCCTAAGCCAGCCTGGAATTGGATTCTCGAGCCAGAAGACTATGGCAAGAAATTCTACCTTTTCTACCACCATTTCAAGTGGGCTGACGACGGGGTGTATGGCGCCATTCATTTGCCAACGGCCATCTCCACGATCGCACTCAAGGAGGCCGTCGGCAATCGGTCGCTTGAAGACTTGGCCTCTCGGTTTCCGCAGGTTGGCATGTTGCACAGAAGACGCATGTAGGCAAATACACTTTTGTTCTTTTCCTCTTCTCGTACTATAGAATTTGTGTGAATGTGAGAGTGTAGTATAATAAAGTCGCGATACGCCGGGATAGGCACCGTGAGACAGCTGTAGTGTAGGCAGAGTCAGTCTCACCCGGTCGACTGGTTGAGATACCAGGGCAAATCTGCAATTGATTCAAACTGCCACGGTCATTCATCTTATCACTGGGGTTGGAAAACCCTGTGGCTGCTCAGCGAACAGTGTCTCCTGCAATTCAAATGTCTTTGCGGTATATAGCGCCCTGTATAGTGTATAGTATCATACATCTGACGTTGGATCAAGTCTTGAAACATCCCATGCTTGCTCTAAACGATGGTGACGAGAAAAACACCGCAAAAGGTCTACAGCTTCGAAGGCTTCGGCACCTTGGGCCTCTGCGTGGGCGTCGCAAGCGGGTCATAGATGGCCAGACCGAGGTTATCCGACGGCGTCGACCCGTGGTTGAAGAGACTGCGCGTGTCAAGAAGCGAGGGGTTGAGCTGGTCGACGCTCGTGCAGCCGATGAGACGCATGTTCATCTCCATCTCGTCGCGAAGCAGCTGCATGGCGCGGTCGACGCCCTCGAACCCGTAGCCGGCCATGGCGTACAGGAACGGCCTGCCGATGCCGACGCCCTTGGCACCGAGGCAGAGAGCCTTGATGATGTCGGTAGCGCGACGGACGCCACCGTCAATGTAAATCTCAATGGCGTTCTCGAGACCCATGCGTCTCAGCACCGGCATTGTCTCGGCCAGCACCTCGACACCGGACCGCGCAAAGTCGAGCTGGCGACCGCCGTGGTTGGACAGGACGACGCCCTGGACGCCGGCCTCGATCGCCTTGATGACGTCCTCGACGCGCTGGACGCCTTTCAGAATGATGGGCATGTTGGTGATAGACTTGAACCAGGGAATGTCCTTCCACGAGAGTGCGGGGTCGATGAAGGACGAGATGGCGCGGGCGGCGCCCTGGGACTGGTCGGTCGCCTGGCCCGACTGGACGTTGGCGCCGGGGTCGGTGAACTTGGAGCGCATGTCCTTCTCGCGGCGGCCGAGCTGCGGGGCGTCGACGGTGATGAAGAGGCCCCTGCAGCCGCGCTTCTCGGCGTGCTCGACAATCTTCTTTGTGATTTCGCGGTCCTTGTTAACGTACAGCTGCAGCCACTGCACCTGGTCGCCCTCGGCGGCGTCCATCATCTCGTCAAAGGCGCACGAGGCCAGCGTCGGGATCATCTGGATGACGTTGTGCTTGCGGGCGGCGCGCGTGAGGAGGACCTCGCCCTCGGGGTGGCCCAGCTTGCCGAGGGCGGTCGCGGTGACGTAGAAGGGCATGTCAACCTTTGTGCCGAACATTGTGGTACTGAAGTCGACTTTTTCGACGTCGACGAGGATCTGCGGGCGGAACCAGATGCGGTGGAAGGCGCTGTGGTTTTCTCGGAGGGTCTGTCGGTCAGTACTAGTCGGTGAAATGCGACGGGCTGCTCACAATCTCATCATCTGCGGCGCTCGAGTAGTACCCCCACGCCGTCTTCTTCATGATCCTGCGCGCGACGGCCTCAAAGTCCATCAGGTTGTAGCACTGAGACAGCAGCGGCTTCTGCTCGACCCTCTCGAGGCGCTCCGCCTCCTCGGGGTCCTCCTCCTTCTCTTCCGCCACCACGGATGTCATGTCGACGGGGCCCAGGTGCTTGGACTGCTCGAGGTACTTGTCCAGCGTGTCTGGCGGGTGGATGGGGTCGAACTCTTCCGTCGCGTCCTTGCCGGCATACTTGAGAATGATCTTGGAGCCGCCGGGGTGTTCTGGAATTGTCAGTTGTGTTTCTGCGGTGTTGGGGGTTACTCACCCGGCAAGAAGTCCGTAACATCGTAGGCTTTGCCCTGTATGCGCGTCAATTGACTGTGTCCTGTTTGACCAGACGCAACCTACGTGAACAATGACCCAACAAGAGTCCGCACTGTTGTGCTTTGCAATCTCGTCGCCGTTCAGCCCCATTTTCGCGATGTCTGCTCTCGGGCGAATGGGAATGTTGTGATTGAGAAGAAAATCCGGGGTAACGGGTAGATCGCTTCTCCACGGGGTAGATGTAAGGATGATTAAGAAGACGCTAAGTGGCCAATTCGCTCCAGTCCAAAAGAATTTCAAATCACACACCGATGACGGACAGGAAAAAAGGGAAAAAAGATGAGGTCGTTCGCGCGCGACAGAAAACGTGTCTAGCAAGCTTGGTCCGAGGACCGGTCTCCAAAAAAAAAAAAAAAAGTCCGTGGTATCGTCTCGAGGAGAGTCTTGGGGGGCGCTTGGAGAAGCCCAGACGGGGTTGGGGCCGGGGGCGAAACCGACGAAAGGTCATCAGCTCGCTCTTCATTGTACCGTCAGACACTGCCGTACCCCACCAAGGATACGACTCTGCGTTAGCGGCCCACCTCGGGTCAATTGGGTGCGGGGTAATAAGTCGGTGACGTTCTGTTCTTCGGTGTAAAGGGACCGCGGCGAAGGTGGTGAACCCGGTCTATCCCCGAATGGCGGATGCCCCGAGGCGCGGATGCGTTCCCGAATCCCACGCGTTCTTATCGGCAAGTCGCGGGATCCCGACAACGGATAGAGGCGGCACGAGGCAGATTCAACTACCGGCATGCAAAGTCAACGTCTATTCGTAATCTGGGTATAAGCTCCTCCAAACTCCTTTGTACATCTCTTCTAGAACACCGAAGGCCTGGGCCCCGAAGATACCATCACTTCAGCTACACTGGACGGCCGCTGCGAACTCTTCCGGCTCGTAAGCCGCCCAAAGAACCCTTCAGACCTCTTTCTCTCGCTGCTCGAGATGCTCGACCGGTCCGTGGTCTCCCGTATCGTGTTGGTATCGATGTGCGTCTGCGGAAAGATACCCCATGTCCCCTTGGCATTCGTCCCAGACCAACACCAGTGATCTTGCCACGCCCCTATACCGCATCAGCTTGCGTCAATATGTAAGAGCGGTTAACTTACAGCTAATATTTGTGATTCTCTCTCCCTGATCAAACTTGAGCCAGTCGCCGCCGTCCTTTGACTTGGGCGCAAACTTCCACCGTGCCACCGCAGAGATGTTACTTGTCGTGTCCATCTTGATCTCCGCCCTGGGTGGCGGCTCCAGCTTCGCCACGTCAACCGGCGCGGAGCCGTAGTTTCCCTCATGCCACGCCATGATCCACTCCCCGTTGTACTTGGCAGGGAATGCCACTCCGCTGAGCCTGGCGCCGTTTGCAAGCTCAAACGCGGGTGTCTGGTCGTACAGCAGCCGCATCCCGTACATCCGCTTCACCGTCTGCGTGGCCGTGGCGTGCGGTAGCTGCGCCAGCTCGAGCTGCTTGTCTGCCAGCGGCGACGGCTTCGGCGGCGCACGGAAGTGCAAATCATAGTTGTTCCGGAGGTTGAATGGGATCTCTGCCTCCTCTACCACAGTGACCCCGGGGACTTGCGGCAGCGGGCGTGGGTGGCGCGCAAGGTGCTCAAACAGCTTCTTCTGGCTAAAAAAGACTGTGGCATCGCACTCTTCGAGGGTACGTTGGGACTGCACGCAAAAGACGCAGCCGTAGAGGGCCTCGTCGGCGCGTTTCGTGGCGATATGACTCTTCTGCAGGAAGCGGACGCGGTAGCCAATCTTGTTCAGCTGGTAGTTGGCTTCCTCTGCGTAGTTGACGTCTGCCTGCATCTGATTAAAGTCGGTCTCGTAGTAGCAGCTTTCGCACTGGGCAACAACGTGCGCGCCGGAGAAGCCCTGTTCGGTTGTTAAAAAGGCCCCTTACTCCTTCGCAGTATACGTACCGGCTTCTTGACTTTCTTGATGCCAGCGCCCCCTCGAATGACCTCCTTGGCCCCGTCGCAGAACCCTTTGTACAGATAGAACGAGCTGCTCAGGCCGATACTACAATCCTTTGGCCGAGCCGACATCATGGATGCGGGCCTGCTGTGGGTTGACTCCGAATCGACCGGTATGGGCGCTTCATAGTCATTCGTAACCAGTGGGACTCGTTCGATGCCTTCGTGGATGCCTGGTGGGAAGTTTGGCGGTATGACTGCGCCTCGAGACAGTGGACTCAGCTGTCCGTCTTGGCCGGACGCCGTTGAAGAGCGATGATCCGTCATGGCGGGGCTTCTCGTCCCCTCTTCCTTCCACCCGTCAAACACTGATCCGTGCATCGACTCCAGCGAGCGTTGCCTCGAGGGATGGGAATGGACGGAGCTGGCTTGTGAGTACCGATGAGGCCGCGGCTGGATCGCGTGGTCCCCCGGAATGGGGGCGCTCAACGTGGATGTCCGCCCACGCGGTGAGAGAGGAGGGGGCCTCATGTCCTGCGGGCTCATGTGGTACCGCTCCTCGTCCGTGAGCAATCTGTCTACGCCGGTTTCCAAGAGGCGACTCGACCTTCTCTCGTACTCGGGGCTGTTGGGCTCGGAGACGGGAGAGCTCATGGTCGACACAGGCGGCCGCCTCTCGATGGTCTCGGTCAAAGTGGCCCCCGTCTCAATGGTTGGAGTCGTCCTCAGATCCCATGGGTTCGTCGGGGGAGGCGGAGGGGGCTCGAGTTCTTCAACCATGGGCTCTGCCTCACTCGGGGGATGAACAATGCCCGAGTCGATTAGGACGACTGGTGTTTGACTCTCTGCGCTGGTCAGACAATGTTGCCTCGCATTTCAATGCCGCTTACCAGTTGTGACGGCCGGTGGTGTCGCGGCGACGGGTGCCGCAGGCGCCTCCAGCTTGAACCTCTTGAGGATCTCGCCAATCTTCACGCCCGACTTCTTGCACAGTTCCCACAGCTCCGTGTACTTGCCCTTGTCGAAGGTGTCTGCTTCCGTGTACTCATCAAAGTCCCAGAGCGTATCGGTCAATTGCAACCTGAACTCGGCAATGTCATCTGTCGCTTGTCAGTATGTTCAGAGCAACACCGGCGAAACACCTACTATTGTCCTTGAGCGCATTCGTGAAAGCGACCTCT